TATATATATATATATATATATATATATATATATGGCAAATAATTACAATATATATATATAAACATGAGGTGCACGTGTTTTGTTTACACCATAAATGCTAATGGAGGTTCAGCTTCACTAAAGTGTGAAGAGGAAAACGCAATTTCATACAATGTGTGAAAATGACTGTCACAGCAACTGATTTCATTGTTGGTTTTTTTTTCTCTATGGTTTCTATGATTATCCTGACGATGTTTATGAAATTCTAAATTTCAAACAATCTTTTAGACTTGCTTTGTGATGTACAGCTAACTTTAAAAGAAGAAAAAAATGGGTGTAACTCGTTAAGCGTGACAGCCGATTGCATTCCGGTTTCTGTTGGACTCCCCAGAATCGGACCTCGTTCTGCTTAATGAGGTGCTATGAAGGTCAACACCAGAACCCAACAGCAATGTGTGATATTGGTGGAGACCGAACTGAAACACATTCATGAATCTAGTAAATATTTGATTCTGGTCTCTTAATTAGCTCAAAAAATCTAACTTATGTTGCTTGAAAAAGTAATATGAATGTTTTGTGTTTTAGTCTGAAAACACAACATTATGTTATTGTTGCCAACTCAAAATGAAGTTTTTTATTTTTATTTTGGGTAAATGATTGGAGACCAGATACTTAAAGTATCGAATGTGTCTAGCAGTTAATATAATAAAAGCACTTTAAACTTGGAAACGCGTTTGTTTCAACAAACATTGCACATCTATTGCATGTGCAGACGTGTCTACATTATTGTTGAATTAAAACTAAAATCACAATTTAAACTAGAACTGCAAGCAGTTATAATGGCTTTCTCGCCTGACCCAGCAGGTTAAAAAGAATCAAGTTAACAAAAAATTTTATTTCAGATATTTAGATAAACTGAGCTGGTCCAGCTTTAAAGTGCTTATCCTAAAGTAAAATCACAGAAACTAGTCATTTTGAAATGTTCAGAGCTCAATTTTGTCCTGATTCACTTTTAAATAGTTAAAAGAATGTTATCAAGCAAATATATTGCAATATTTTACCTCTGTTACATATCTGACGGCAAAAACAGTGAAATATGTGAGTGTAATGAAATGAAATTAGAGCTGAAAAATGCCCTGATAAGCAATGACCATTGATGCTGTGTGGATCTTAACTAACATGTACTGACAGACTCTGAGCAGCAGATCAATAGATCCCTGGATTGATTATCTAACTGATTGGTTTGCTTCATTATCAGACCACCTCTACCCTCTCAAAATGATTTATAGTTCAACCTTTATGCTGAGTCGGTCGTTTTGTCGACATTCCGCTACATAAGGTCAATCAATCTAAATGGGAAAGGAACTGTAGGTTGAAAAAGAAAAAAAAAAAAGCTTCATCCCGCAGAGAATTGGTGTTGCACATCAAACTCTACGACTTTCTAAAGTTTCCCCCACCCACTGGAGCCGACCCGCTCACAAAGACAGGCACAAGCGCCCCTTTGCAGCAGACGTGAGGCACTGAACCCACCCACTCTCTCGAAATCTGGCATCTGCAGCTCGGACTTAAAACTTGCCTCCAACTCAATGCAGTTGATTTAAGAATTCACAGTGCGGCTGCAGGGCACGCAGCGGCTTATGTAGAGTGAGGCAGCGGCTGCCTCTCCTGCATCCCAATGAGATGACGGAGTGGGTGGTGGGGGGAGAACAGGGGGCTACATGTCAGCCCCTGCCGTTCAACCGTAGCCGGCTAACTGCTGCAACCTGGAGAGCGGCGGCTCGACGGCACGCACGACTGAGCCGAATGGGAGAGATCCCTGCATTAAAACGGCCGGTGCCACTTTCCTGATCTTTGCCTTGGAGCTAAAGCTGACAAGGTGGTTCAGTTGCAGAGCTATTATTAGGACTAATTAGAGGCAAATATTATCCAAGAGGATGGAGCTTGAAGGATGTAAAGGACAAAAACTCAATTTTTTTGCTCTAATTCTCTCCTGTCTTTGTAGCTTGCTTTCAAGGACTTTGACTTTTCTTTCCACATAAGTTACTCTGTGTGCGTATGTGAGAGTGAAATCTTTAGTTTGGTGCAGGATGCAAAAACAGCCCAACGTCCCACCAACAACTACAAAGCAAGCGCCGCTCGACAGCGTCCCTTTAAATCCTGAGCACTGCAGTGCTGTTAAATCAACCTCGCGCCAAGGCAGACGACTCACCTCCCAGCGCAGCTTTCATTATAAAATTCATGATGAGGCAGTTCTGCGTTCCCTTCCCTCAGTTGTCGACGTTATCGAGGACAGACCTGGAGCCAGGGGACAAAACACAGGAGTTTTAAACGGGATGGGGATCAAAGAAAGAGGGAGAGAATATATACACCATAAGCACCCAAAACCCAGTTTTACTACTGAATTGCTATAAATGTCCATCCACAGACTCGAGATCGTGTTTACTTTAGACTAACCCGGGCTCTTTCTGGAGCAGCGGTGAGTTTAGACGAGGCACCTGTGCCCTCGATTTACAACCTCACTCCATCTTGAGAGGATTTATGCTGACACCGCCTGACTTCAGAGTAATTCATCCTCATAAAACGACGACCAGAAACGAGGGAAGGAAGGTGAAAACAAAGGCAGGGTCGCGCTCATCCAGAGGCGGCTGCGTTTTGCATCCACTGGACCCTGAAGGAGCTTCACTTTGCACAACAAGGGAAAAAGCTTTGCAGAAATGTTTAGGACACTTTCATTGTCCTCCACTTCAGCATCCCTTATACCATCCTAACGATATTGTAAGACTTTTTATGAAACCAAATTTTTAGTAATCATACGTATAAATGTGCATTTTTTTTCACAATATGGAAGTTTATTCCTGTGAGATTCAAAACTCACGTTAGCTGTATGACACTGAGTTTCACGGAGGTTAAACAATCTAATTAATTTAAAGCTTGACTCCTGATTTGTGTACTCTCTCTCTATGTATAATTCAAAGGTAGTCTGTGCAGTCCTGCTGCATTCTCCTGCATACCCTTGACACTGCAGCACAGGCAGATGCGTTCATAACTTCCTGCATCAGAGTCGTTGTGCAGCAGTTGGAACGTCTTCCGATTGTTTCCTGATTTCGTCCCACTGCACCAGGACCCCCAGTTCCTCCTAGCTCAAACCCGTCCGGTCGTAACTAAGTGTTCTCATCCACTCTCACTTCACCTCCCGCTATCACCGCGTAGGACGGACAAAACCCAGCGCTGGAAAACATAAGTTACGTAAAAGAGAAGGTCACGCGAGCACAAGCATCCTCTGGTGAGAGGTGCAGAGACCTGCCACCGTCCCGTCCCGTCATCCAACATTCTCCCCGCATCATTTACCTGCTTTTTCTATGCTCCCCCCTTTCCTTGGCGCTCCTTGAATCAGCCGTCTTCCTTCGTCTCCTCGCCGGGAAGAAACAAAACGAGCGATTTACGCGTCTCAAGCGAAGCAATGTGCCCCTCTTTGTGCAAGCAGCACTCAGTTTGCAGTCATGCCGGCTGTGTCAGAGTCAAGGCTGCAGCGGAGGAGGAGGAGGAGAAAGAGGAGGATGGGGAGAGTCTATTCCTGCAGGACGAGGGGGAGAACATGCACAAAAAGGGGGAGGGGGAGGGGGAGCTACACGGATGATATGCCCTACCTCTTCAGTGTAGTTCAACTTCTACAGTGAGCACGAAACATTTAATTTGGTGCGTTCTAGTACTCTATTTTACTCGTGAATGCATGTGATTTGTACGATAAACGTGCTTAAATCTTTTTTTGTTTAGTCCTCCTTGTGCAGATCTTAGCTGTCCAGAAACACCTTGTGTCTCCTTGTGTCTTGCCAGTGGAAAGCCATCTGCATCGCTCCACTCTTAACTACCACCAGTTGTACTTTTATCCCCGCCAGGATTTGAGACCGTGCATTGGATAAACTGACGGACTATCACAAGGACTCGATCAGCCCGGTTCTTACTTCACTTTCTTTCACCCAGCAGCCTCACTGACCTGAATAACGAGTCCACCTGCTCGCCTGTCCCCAAACACACTCATCGCTGCCCTGACATCAAGGACAAATAACGTGTTTGTCGCCTGACCTGGATTCTGACTCTAAACTCTAAAATGAACTCATCTGGAGTTGTAAGTGCTTAAGTCGTTCCCCTTTTTTCTCATTTTCGTGGTGACATTTGGGCACGTGGTGAAGAAGACAACGAAAGAGCCCAGAAAGCTGTTAAACATTTCCCTCCGCCTGCAGCTAGTGTTCAAGATAAAGTTTTAACTGTTTTTTTTTTTTTTTTTTTCATCCTCAGGAAATCTATGGATGAGAACGAACTCTCATTTTTATTGGTCGCTAAGTGAACACCATGCAGTGAAACACATGATAGAACTGCTACAGATCAATACCAATGCCTGTTTAAATCAGTAAAATTGGTGATTAACATCAATTTATAACTTTATCGTGTTTAAAGTGTAAGGTCCATCTTACCAACCTTGAAAATTCTGGACAAAATATCTTTTTTAAAAAGCTATTTAAGGAGTTTGTGGTCCATAGGTTTCATTCTGCCTCCCTCACATTCTTCTTATCAAGGAAGCTCTTATTAGAACCAGAATAGGGGGCAAGATGTTATAAATTTATTCTTCATTTTCATTCATGATTTCTCTTACTTGCTATATGAGCTATTCATATTTTATTATGGAGTGAATCAAATGAAGTAGATGAAATGAAATAAAACATTAAATTACATATTTTAGATTAGCAGGCTTCAGCAGTTTAAGGTAAACCAGATGTAACTGCCTGAACATGGAATCAGCTCAGCTTTTTAATGATCATATTTCATGTTTTTCATTTGTTTGAAGAAGTTTAGTGTTGCTTCAGTTGTGAACAACTGCATGTAAAATGATGCTTTGAGAATTTTTTATTTTAATTTTTTTTTGTCTACAGCAGTAAATTATTTCCGTCTCCCTCTCAGCCGGTATTGAGCAGCGTTCACAGCTGCATCCTGCCGCTGCTTCCACTCTTTTTCTTTTTCCCGACTTCACTTGATGCCTTTTCAAGTCTGTGTCCAAACACAGATGTGAGATTGGGGCATAATCGATAGGCTACATCCTTTTTTTGTTATTTTTGTATTTCTTGTATCTAATAACACTCTTTACACATTTTTTTATTTTTATTTTTTTATTTTTTTATTTTTTTTTTCATTTTAAATGAGTCATTATTATGATTGGCATAGATATGATTTTTTTTATGACCCTGACTTTCTGGTACCCTTCCTTTGTAAATTTGGAACAGTCAAAATATAGCAAATGCACATTGTCACATTAAAATGGCAGCATGAGAAAGATTCAGGTAAAACGATGAGAACGTATTCTTCATCAGCAATTACGATGAAAGAGTTTTACTACACGCTCATCAACAAAACTATATTCAAAACATGTCTCTATCACTCTTTTGTTTCAGCAAAAAGAGAAATTTGTTCAGGTTTCACATGCATAACTGAGGTTATAGAACGGTGAGATGGAAACAAGTCTCCTAAGATCTCTGTACATCGTGGATTACATCCACGTGTGTAAGACACGGTGTCAGACAGCCCGTCTATACAGAAACAATCTGTGCATCCTCTGATTCATTAATCATGAAATGCTGAGCCTGGCAGGGTTAGAGCAGCTCTCGCTACAATGCAAAGGTAGATGGGAATCGATAAAAATCCTTAGGGGACACAGTCAGATTTATGGATTAGGACTTCTCATCAAAATGGAAGAAGAAGAAAAAAAACATCTGTAGAGAATAACTTAACAAGTCAAAAACATAATTAGTTTGCTGTGAAGAGTGCATCTCCAGAATCTGCCTTTTAACTCTAATATCAGAAAAATTATTAGGTATTGATGCACATCAATGACTGTGTGAGTGTGATTGTAAAGCTTATTTATTTTAGTAACTCAGATCCAAACAAGACACATAAAGGCACATTGTTTATTCCTGCTGTTTTTGATCATTAAGGTGCTTTGCCACTAATGAAATCCCCCGAACTGAATCGCTCACTTCTGCTGAAGTGTAAATGTTGCAAAGGGCCAACAAAGAAAGATGCTTAATGCAGAAGCTTTATGTTACGGCCCACACACTCCTGGGGGAAAGACTGTGCAGACTTGGCAGTTGTCCTGCAGACAGTCACTTCCACCGTCCACAAGAAATTAAGCCAAAAAAAGAAGAAAAGGAAACCGCTAAAGAAGCTGGCTAATCAAGCAGCGCTACATCCATGCATATCATTTTTAAGCTTAGTTGAAGAAAAAGTGTGTTAGTGCAGCAGAAACAAAATGTTCATGTGGCTTCTTTTTATGATTGCTTTTATGATACGTCTGGAATCTTGTCTATGACTAGGAGCTTATGCAAAAATATTACTTTGAGCAACTTTCACTGCATTTTACACACGAGAGGCTTTGGTGTTTAACGTGGGGTCGTTGAGGAAGTTTGATTATTCCAACTTCAGGGCGTATTCTTGATCATTTTTACAGTTTGCTAAAGAATCTGGCTTTTCAGAGTTCTTTATGCAAGCATACAACTGGAAATGTTCAGGGGGACACATGTATTTTTGTTGTACAAAAATACATGTGTTTTGCATTCCTTGTTCATGTGTTTGATTTTATACTGATGTCATGTTCGAAATAAAATAAATAAAGTTAAGTGAAAGGATAAGGTATGTTGTACAAGTGTAGGAGAATTAGTTCCATTTATTAATAAAAAAAACTTTTCTCGTGTCTTCTAAGCGCTACTACCTTTGACATTTCAGTAATTAACTTTAACTTTCTCCATTTATGCAAACTGAAGTGAAAGAAATACTGCTGTATAAACAGCAGCACACATTACAGAATGATTTTGGTGTTGTTTTTAATTCATTACCATATCTCACTCACTGTACTTTGAAAATCTGAAGATGCACAAACATTTGTTGATGTTTACCTGCGTGCGATCCAAGTGAGCTCACAGTTTCCAGCTCCAGAGATAAAACCTTTTTCTCCTTTTAATCACATTTTGAGCTCATTTTCACATATTAGGTGTTTTAAATATTAATGCTAGTCGTTTCCTGCCTCATACAACCCATCATTGACTAACCGACCACACACAGGGCTGGCTAGCTATTATTATTATTATTTGAAAACCCCTTGAAACCACACTGAGAAAGTTGTAATTTTCCGGCATAATGGACTTGCTTTATCATTTGTTGTAAGTGTGGGGATAAAAGTCTGACAGAACAGAACAAATATAGAAATTCTCGATGATCTACTGCTAGCTATCCTGAAACAACAGTGCTGCTCTCACCTGATCTCCTCACAGACCTCTTCAAATCTCTATGTAGTTAAAATCCCCAAAATAGCTCTGTGGATTCATAACTCGCCTCCTGTGTGCTGTGAAAGGTTCCTGTAATGATCTGCACTGTGATGAGGAGACAGTTTGATTTATGTGGGGATTTTTTTTTTTTTAGCTTCTTCTTGCGTAAAAATGCAAAAAATAACCACAGAAAAAAAGAAGTATAATCAACCTTGTTTTACTTGTATAAATCCACATGCCTCTAAAGCGGAAGCCCCTCATATTTTAAAGAACGGGGTTATATTATTAATGTTTCCTCTGCAGTGTCCTTTGTGCCGGTGCCAGCATCTTCTTCTGTGATGTTGTAGGTCATATCCCTCTTTGTGAAGGGCACAGTGGCCTCCGAAGCGATTCTCCTAAGTCCGACGGGAGGGGCGGGTTTTCTTTGGATATTAGGCTGCTGTCCATCATCCGTGCTGCACTCTGAGGTCCCCGGAGACACTGAAGGAGGGGAAAGGAGGAGCTGGAGGGAGGATGGAGAGTGGGGGAGAAGCGGAGGAGTTGCATGTAATTCTGTGTGTGCATGTCTATCAGCCGCTGAAGCCCCCAGACGTGGGGAGGTGTGCTCTGCTGCAATGCGTAAAGACATAACAGCTTCATCCAGATAGCAGACACGCTGACTGAAATGCCAAATGACTGACTGGTTGACAGGAAAGCATTACACGGCGCTTGTGAACTGACAGGCCATCTGATTGCCTTGCTGACTTCGATTTTTTCACAAAAGATTTCATTATTTGGAGAGTTAAGCTTAGAGGAAAACGATTAGAAAGAATTTTGGGAAATTTATTTGATCATAGTAAATAAAATTACTGCAGTTGAAACAAACTTGAAGCGAAGTTTGTGGTGTGTTGGATTTATCTCAAATGCTGGCGCTCCGATCTGGGAACGATGCGACATCCGAGCTGACGGTTTTTAATATTTTCGACTTGGAAAATCGGGTCAAGTTTCAAACCGTAATTTCCCCCTGGAAGTCAAAATTCTGATGTGTAAAGTTAGCTGTCGGCTAGCAGTTACATGTTTGGTATCCAATATGGCTGCCATGTGGAGAAAAGATTATAGAGACTTTATCAACACAACAGTTTGTGTCTCATCAAATGATTGTCGAGCATAATGCTGTTCAATAGTTATTTGCGAACATGTTATTTCAGATTAGATGTAGAGTTCAATTCATTAGCGCTGGCCAGTTAGCATCGCAACAACAGATTCCTCTGTTTTTC